CACACCCACCCACACCCAAGTTCTTTTGTGATGTGAAGGTGATTTTCCGAAATTACGAGGAAATTTCTTTATTTTCCTTACGGTTGGTTGAGAATAGGATTGCGGTAGCTACGATAGCATCTGATATTTTCTAAAACTTGCATTTTGTAGGGTTACAATTTCCAAAATATGAATATTTAGCAGAGAAATTTTCTTTTTCGGAAATCTGCCCACTGCTGTAGCAGTGCAAATCAAAAGTTTTTAGACACATTTGAAATTTCAGCAATTTTCGAAATTTCTGTAAGTACGTCATTGCGAAAATTTCAGAAATTCCGGAAATTACATCATTTTAGGAAGTAACGTGCAATTGCGAACACAAATACTTGAAATCTCCGAAACTGCCGAAATTTTCTTTTTCGGAGGTCTGAACATTGCTGCGTTGAATTGCTTGGGTTCCTTGGGTTCGTTGATGTTCTGAATGATTGTGATTCAAGCGTCTTTGAGTTTTTAGAGTTCCATGAGTTCAGAATTCATTGAATCCAACCACATCTCTGTGACGTTTTCTGTGTAATCTGTTTTATTTTATGTAGTAAATTTTAACTGCTCTCTTCTCTGTAGAAAGATAAGTATGAAAAAAAGAGCGTATATATATACATCTCTTGAGTAGAAAGTGACCAGATGTTTTTATGCTTTGAGAGACGCGTGTTGTTTTGTAACTTGAAAAACATAAAGAAAGAAATCTAACAGCCACTGTATCGCGATTCAAATATTTACTCTTTCAGATGTCAAACAAAAATTCTTCAACGACTAAGAAGCCGTATACAACATTCAGAAGGAATTCGTGTATAAAAGAGAATCATGTGACTACAAAAAGTTCTCCGGTTACAGTGGTAGGCTCAAATTTAACAGCAGTATCTAGTCCTAACTCTTCTTCAAATGCAAAGCCGATCATAGAACCTAAAAATAGCACCAAATCGAAACTGTCACTATCACATATCGCGAGGTCAAATGGAAATGCAGCAACAACTATCAATCAATCACGTATTAGTGCAGCAACAACTATCAATCAATCACGTATTAGTGCAGCAACAACTATCAATCAATCACGTATTAGTGCAGCAACAACGATCAATCAATCACGTATTAGTGCAGCAACAACTATCAATCAATCACGTATAAATACAGCAACAACTGTCGACACACCAGTAGAAATAGGAATGCCACGTACTTCGATAATTAGAATCGAACCTTCCGAAAAACTTGATGCGCGCCGTATCACTTCTGCATCTATGCTTAGGAACCGAGAAATACCAGAGACACAGATGCCATCACTTCAAGCGAAGCTAATTTTTATATGGCTGGATGAAGATGTTAACACAAACAGTATTTATTTAGCTGCACAAAAGCAATTGCAGAAGGTGCTTTATAAACTCTTAGTATTTAGCAGATATGGTGAATGTATTCACTATATTACTAATAATAAAGATCAACGATTGATTGTGATTGTTTCATCGAAATTCGGGGAAAAAGTCATCTCCATCGTACATGATTTGCCACAATTGATCGAATGTTATGTCCTGTCAAAGTATAGCGAAAACGACAAAAAATGGACACTGAATTATGAAAAGGTATTTAGGAAACTAGAAAGAGAAGTTCACTCAAAAATTTGAAAACAAATACATATACGAGGAACATGTAATCAGTGTAGCATACACATTGATACTATCTATCCAGTTAAAGAATCGCTATTTCCTATCATAGTTTTCGTTTGATTCGTTACTTAAAGGGTTTAGTTTACGACAATGTAAAGAACTACCCGATTTCCATCGTCACGATACTGTCTGATATGGATATAGATGTAACAAAGAAAGGTATTTTTATAAACAAGTAGGATATAGGTAACAAGACGGTTTCATCGATCGTTTGTCGCTGTACAGATAGAATATTTTTGCAACCAGTGACAAATACATTTTTTATAAGAGAGCCACGATACGCAGGTATGGTGTGAAGGGTCGAAGCAGGCAAGGAAATCCAAAAATCGGACAAAGAGTGAAAATTTTTTTCTATCATTCAAAAAGATTCAAAAATTGGAGAAAGTCGTCTGATATGCTTCTTCAAAATTGGAGAAAATTGCTGACTAAAATCTCAAAAATCGAAGAAAGCTGTCTTCAAAATCGGAGTAAGGCGACTTCAAATCCGAAGAAAGCCCCAGCCAATATTCTCTGGAGCATGGGGTGACCTCCTCATCCTCCTGGTCGTACCACCCCTGACACTACGTCTATTCAACTATACTCGAGCCCTGGCTACAGCCACATCCATGCGAAAGCAATATCCCAGTCACTCATTCACAATAACGCGCACACATCAACCATTCACAGAGGCATATACCAAGTTACACTTCGAGGGTGCTCACAAGTACACCCATCAGTTCACGCTCAGCCATATATCCACATACAATCGATATCTAACTTTATATTTAGGATATGAAAGGCTGATTTGTCATGTATCAATCAGCATGTGAGTCACTACCTATAAAATACATGCATACACATACACCACCTAACATGTCGCATTTGTATAAGATCCAGTTCATATAAGCCACGACCGACTTCATAGAAATCCTGCTCAATCGATGTCGGCAGATTTGGCTCAATTTAAGATACGTTGTAGAGGGAAGAGTTTTATGAATTTTGACGCAAGCCGATTCAAAAACTATTGATCCCTGGGTCTTTTATCAGCATTTTACGAAAAGGCCTAAAAATCATCCTATATATAAATGGGAGTATTAATGCAACGATATCTCACGAATAGTTCAACCAAATGAGCTGAAATCTTTTATTGCCATATATATCAGTGAGGGTGTGAGTGTGGGTGTGGGTGTGGGGTGTGTGGGTGTTGGTGTGGGTGTGGGTGTGAGTGTGGGTGTGGGTGTGGGTGTGGGTGTGGGTGTGGGTGTGGGTGTGGGT